ATTGAGAAATGATGGAACACCAAGACTAGGGGACTGTAAGAAGACTTTATTAGGGTGTATGTATGGATTTATTCTGAAGGATTTTCAATATTGATATCTACACCCTAATAAAGTCTTCTTATAGTCCACCAGATACAGATCAAATATAGACAATATCGGTCACCATGAATGATGGGTTCAAAATACCCCAATGTCCAACTATAGATATACATATCGAAAATCCTTCAGAAAAAATCCATACACCCTAATCAAGTCTTATAGTCCACCAGTCTTGGTGTTCCATCATTTCTCAATGTTCCTCAAACCAATACGTCCTCTTCAACTCTTAGTACCTCAAAACAAATAAACAAATGGACAGGTCCTAAGAGTTGAAGAGGACGTATTGGTTTGAGGAACATTGAGAATCGATGGAACACCAGGACTGGTGGACTATAAGAAGACTTGATTAGGGTGTATGGATTTATTCTGAAGGATTTTCGATATGTATATCTATAGTTGGACATTGGGGTATTTTGAACCTGTCATGGTGACTGATATTGTCTATATTCAATCTGTAACTTCCAGGTTGCAAGGATTTACCATAGCGGTCCAAGGGATTCCACTGTAGGTCTAAGGGTTTCACTGTAGGTGGGTGTGGTTTTGCCACATATAAACGTCTTACTGCGGCTGAGCGTCTCATCACCATACTGCGTATGAAGTCTTCTGTAGGGTTTTGTTTTACACCTTCGTTCCCAAGAAACATCATCACCACGCGCTGTCCCATGCACGCACTAAGATTGTTGTCTGCCATCTTGATGAACGGTCTCTGGACTGGCCCTCGACACGTGCACCGCCTATCTGTAATAGGACATGCTTGCCACTTACTACTGCGTGTAGTACCACCACGCTAGCATCCATTTTTTATTCCTGTCCCGGTTTGACTTGGGCGCCCCTCGTATCTTTGGCTGTTTGAAGAACAAAGTTTATAGAGTTGGCTTTGGCCTACTAGACGTTTTATGGAATGTGTTCACTTCAAACACCCAGTCTAAAGGGAATCTCTACTGGTTGTCCGAACAACTTGCAAGTGGTAGGGTGCCCTAGATGACCTCAACCCTAGATGACCTCAGGCCTAGATGACCTCAACCCTAGATGACCTCAACCCTAGATGACCTCAGCCCTAGATGACCTCAGCCCTAGAAGACCTAGCCCAAAATGGCCTCAGGCCTAGATGACCTCAGCCCTAGATGACCTCAACCCTAGATGACCTCAGCCCTAGATGACCTCAGCCCTAGATGACCTCAACCCTAGATGACCTCAGCCCTAGATGACCTCAGCCCTAGATGACCAAAACAGTTTCTTTCCAAAATTTTCAGTAAAATTTCCTTACCTGGATTGTCCGGATCTGCGGCTGGAAGACAGAAAGTAACAGACACAGTGAATATATAAACACATCGATCTCTCACAGCAAATGATACCTCCATATTTGCTTCGGAAGCAATTTTCCAAAATTAACTTTTTATGTGTAATTTTTTTTTTTTTTTATTCCATAAAAGTTTATTTAGAAGCGACAACATGTTACAATTTTCCAAAATTCAATTTTAATATTTGAATGCACAACATACAACTTCCATGCAGTATTATGATCGACCATATGAACATTTTCCCTGTTGGATTCAGAAGGGGTTGGAAGTGCGCCATTGGCACTTCGAAAATGGATTTCCCACATTTTACATATTTTATATATTTTTAACGACCCACCCTTTCCAAAAATTAAACAGGTAAAAGGGTCTTTTTTGGAACCCTATAGAAGTTCACATCTGCTTTACCCTAGATCTGTCCGGAACACCTACGAGAACTTGAACGTTCTCGGAAATCTAATACTTGCAATTCTATCTAAATTTGGTCAAAGAACAGATGTGACCAAGGGTGGACTGACAACTCGTGGGGCCCCTGGGCAATAGGGGATCATGGGGCCCCTGTGTCCTTGCCCACACTCAAACCACACCCAAAAAGCCTATGAAAGATACCAGGGGCATCTCATGGGGCCCCTTACTGACCCTGGGCTCGAGCACCTGAATGGTCAGTTGTGATAAACAAGTTCAGAGGTGAGTGGGGGGGGGGGGAGCGCTAAGACGCATCTACCTTGTGTGCGTTTGGGGATGGACCACCAGCAATGGGGCTTAGTAGAAGGTCCATGTGGAGGTGGTGTCCAAGTCCATCTGTAGTGGGAGGGGCTTGTAGTAGTATGGACTTGTCCGAGGAGGCAGCCGGCTGTAAGAGTTTGTAGATACTCTGAGCTGAGCTGTCACTTCATCGGAAAATATCTATTCCATCTCCATGGGTCCAAGATTCACCACAAAATATGACCGATCCTGGACACAGGGCCTCCACCAACTGTCGGGAACATCACGTCAGCCAATGTAGAGGTCATTCCAGCCATAAGGCTCATGCGTATATGTAGGAACCTCCTAGAAAGGTCCTAGGAGGAGAAGATCAAATTGGTTCCTCTGCTTAGCAGGAGGACTATTAGGACAACCTAACCAGAGAGGTGCAATTGTTAGTAGTCCTTGGTCGGTGTGTTCAAGGGCTGCTAGTCCTACCTCTGACTTCCTCTGTATTTAGGTAACTTGAGAAGGTTCTGAATGCAGAGCACAGTATGGATCGGCCACCCTAGCCAATCACAGGGAGTGCAGCCCCTGAGGAGAAGGCATTTATTCTTTGGGCATACTGAGACCAAGATCCTTCCTGGAGAGGATTGCACAAGCCTGGGGGGAAAGGCACGCTGCCTCCCTAGGTACCTGCTGCCATGTGGCCTCAGGTGGGTGGCCTGAGGGCCTGAAATAAGAGAAACAGTGACCCTGGTTTTTCGGAACGCTGACTGAGGGTCGGTCATCACTGTAGGGCATCACATAGAAGATTGGAAGGAGGCTACCATCCTGCTGCCATGTGGCCTCAGGTGGGTGGCCTGAGGGCCTGAAGTAAGAGAAACAGTCACCCTGGTTTTTCGGAATGCTGACTGAGGGTCGGTCATCACTGTAGGGCATCACTTAGAAGATTGTAAGGAGGCTACCATCCTGCTGCCATGTGGCCTCAGGTGGGTGGCCTGAGGGCCTGAAATAAGAGAAACAGTGACCCTGGTTTTTCGGAACGCTGACTGAGGGTCGGTCATCACTGAAAGGCATCACTTAGAAGATTGGAAGGAGGCTACCATCCTGCCCTTGGACCCTTGTGATTACAGACACTAAGGGATCCTGTGTGCTTTGCTACCCCTCTGGTGCTTTATAGTCAGCGTGGATCCGTAACAAGGGGATGCCGGCTGGTTTCCTGAAGAGCACTGTCCTTGACATTGGGACTTTACCCAAGGCTGTTACTTAGAAAAGTTCTGTCCTCGACTGCAACTGGTCCTGTTCCTGGAGTACTAAATTCTCCATCCCTATCCAAGTTCTCCAATAATAAAAAAAAAAAAAAAAAAAACAACCCCCTAGACCGATTATTGGAAAACGTGTGTGTGTGCACCTGGCTGCCAGGCGAATTTCCATGTGGGTCCCTTCTGCAGTAGTTCAAAATTCTGTTCCTGCGCATACCAAAGTTCTACTTGTCCCTTTCTGAACTAGGAATTACGTGATTTGGCAAGCAAAAAGGAAAAAAACAAAACAAAAAAAAAACACAATACTTACTTAAAACTTGCAAAGATAGCGCTGTAAAAAAAAAAAAAAAAAAAATGAACAGTTAAAATAAATTAAATCTTATTATCTGAGAGGCTGGTCATACATGAGTCATTAGGAATTCTAAAACTTGCAGTACCAGTGAAAACAAATTCAATGTGATATAAAATATAAATGTATATATATATATTATATGAAATATCGTATGTGAGTACCCATGACACACTTAAAAATTAAGTGATCAACCCATATGGAAGAGAAATATATTTCCAATATATTTAGAAAAAAAAATTATACATGCGACATATATTTACAATATATTGGCCTACACAAATATATTTTAACATGTATAAAAAAAAAAAAATGTAAATTAAAAAAATATTTTCCAAAGGCATATATTTAAAAATATATTTTCCATATATTTTTGAACATCTAAAAAAAATGCATTTAAACTTTAAAAATTTAAGAATGTATTTTGAAAAAATAAAATATATTTTTCTTCCATGTGGGAAGTTACCCTTTTCCAGCCACTTCTGGACTCTTCACAATAGTCTGCCAACTGGAAAATGTTATGGGGGTCGCAAGTGGGTGGTGGTAGGTTCTTGACATATTTTATGGATAGACTGCAATCTCCTTCCTCAGGAAGCCCTATGAACAGGATGTCTTGGGGTTCAAAATAAAAGATAAATAAAGCATAAGGAAGCCTTCCCACACGGAAGAAAAATATTTTTTAAATATATTTTAAAAATACATTCTTAATAGATTCTTCCCAAATATATTGACATATATTTCAAATACTACAATTTTGGCCGTATTCAATATATTTCAAAGAGTAATTTGGAAGGCATTTACAAGTATATTTAAAAATCTATGTTTAAATGCATTTTTTTTTAGACGTTCCAAAAATATCTGGTAAATATATGTTGAAAAATATATTTTTAAATATAGGCCTTTGGAAAATTTGAGATGAGCTGTAATGTCAATCGTGATCCAGGTCTTCTCATCCGGCATCGTCACCTGACCTCACAAACGGGAAAAGATGCCCACAGACACCCTCCATAATCGTGTCTGAAGCCTTCATGGAAGAATGGAGGCCTTTTTTTTAGGAAGCCAACTCTAATCAGAGTGGCCAATCAGTGATAACATGAAGAGTAGTAAGCAATATGTCACTTCTGAATGATCACAGAGATCACATGGTACAGGGCTATTTAATCACCGCCGGGGTTTTTATTTTTTGCTAAATTAACAAAAAAAGACCGAAATTTAAAAAACAACAACACATTTTTCTTTGTTTCTCTTCTAAAAGTTTGGAAATAAATAATTGTTCTTCATAAATTTAGGCCGAGATGTATTCTGCTACATGTCTTTGGTGAAAATAACCCAAATTAGGATGTATTTTTTAGTTTGTAGGAAAGTTATAGAGTTCACAAACTATGGTATAGATCTGAATATTGATCAATCCTGAAGTACTGACGGCCAATCTAATTTCTTGAGGTCCAAGAATGTCAGAATAGTACAGATATCCCCCAAATGTCAGGACAGTACAGATATCCCCCAAATGTCAGGACGGTACAGATATCCCCCAAATGTCAGGACGGTACAGATATCCCCCAAATGTCAGAACAGTACAGATATCCCCCAAATGTCAGGACAGTACAGATATCCCCCAAATGTCAGGACAGTACAGATATCCCCCAAATGTCAGAACAGCACAGATATCCCCCCAAATGTCCAGTACAGATATCCCCCAAATGTCAGGACAGGACAGATATCCCCCAAATGTCAGGCCAGTACAGATATCCCCCAAATGTCAGGACAGGACAGATATCCCCCCAAATGCCAGAACAGCACAGATATCCCCCCAAATGTCAGAACATGTGCAGATATCCCCCAAATGTCAGGACGGTACAGTACAGATATCCCCCCAAATGTCAGAACAGTACAGATATCCCCAAATGTCAGGACAGTACAGATATCCCCCAAATGTCAGGCAGTACAGATATCCCCCCAAATGTCAGGGCAGTACAGATATCCCCCCAAATGTCAGGACATTACAGATATCCCCCAAATGTCAGGACGGTACAGATATCCCCCAAATGTCAGGACGGTACAGATATCCCCCAAATGTCAGGACAAAGTACAGTATCATATATCCCCCAAATGTCAGAACAGTACAGTACAGATATCCCCCAAATGTCAGAACAGTACAGATATCCCCCAAATGTCAGGACAGTACTGATATCCCCCCAAATGACCCCAAATTTTTGCAAAATAGACAGTAGACAGTCCGACGTACTTCATAAGAGGCATGGCGAGTTTTTTGAAGTTGTAATTTTTTTGTCAAAATTTTTTGGAAAATTAAAAAAAATATTTTCACTATTTTTTTTTTACATACTATCACCAGTGCAGTACAGCGTCATCATATAACTGGCATGGCGGTGATCAGGGACACTGACACTGACTGGTGACAGTATGGAAAAAAAAATATATAATTTTTTTTTTTTTTTTATTAGTTTTAATTTTTTATTACATTTTTTTCTCTTTTTTTAAGATTTTTTTTCTTATTGCACTATGACCAAAGTAGTATAATGTTACCATAGTAACATTGTACTACTTTGGGGAAGTGATCAGTATTTTTTTTTTTTTTTTTTTACACAATTTGCTTATAGCAAGCATTTACCTGAATGGCATCGATTCATTCAGGGTTTTTTTTTCTGTGCTTAGCTGTGATTTGGCCACGGCGAATCACATGACACAGCTGGGCTGTGATTGGCCCAGCTTGTGCATGTGATCGCTGTGACCATTCACAGCTAGACACACTTGTATACAATGGATGGCATGAAAGGAAGCATGATTGGTCACAGCAGGTCACATGGTACCGGCAACGGGGACGGTACACAGATCTGTCATCGGCCGTGTCCGAGGTACACAGCCCGTGACAGATCGTCGGAAAAAAAAAAAAAAACATAAATAATAATAAAAAAAATAAAATAAAAATGTAAAAAAATATTTTTTTTTTTAATTAGAATTTTTGGTTATAATTTTTTTTTTAAATATATTGGAAATATATTTCTCTTCCATGTGGGCCACATGGGGAAAACCAATGTGGTATTAAAAACTGTATGTAGTGTAGAAGATAGAGATAATCACTGTGGCGGTTGAGTTCATACAATGATTATCTGAAGGATAATGTGACATTTGAGTTCACGATAATTTTAGCACATATTATAGACATCATTACTGGGACCCCGACACAAGAATCTCTGACATCAATTCCTATTAATACCCGTGGCACCCTTCAAATAAAACATCATAAAACAGTCTTAAAATGCATCTCCAGCACAAACCAACCAACAGATAAAGCAATAATTAAAAAAAAAAAAAATTAAAAAAAAAAAAAAAAATTTTTTTAATTTTTTTAAACCCATAATTTAAAAATTTTGGGTTTAAAAAAAAAAATCTGAATATCCCATAATACTAGATTATAAATATTTTTTAACGCAAATAAACACATAAAGAACCAGAAAAAAAAATTGTACTTACAAGCTAAAATCACCAGAAATAAAGGAGACATGTCTCATCTAACAAGCTCAGTACGGAATGAATTATTTTCTGCTTCAGAAAGCAAAAGATAAAAATTGAATTTTGGTTTCCTGTTTTGCAGGAAAAATAATGTTCCTGCATTTTTGAACTGGTACACTTTTGTCATCCAGTTGCAGAAAATTCACACGATTTTATAGAAGTTGCAAAATGCAAATTATTATTATTATGAATGTTGTAACATTAACTGCTTAGTCAAGTAACTTCATATCCGAGATTTGTAATGTATTAAATGTTTATAAAAGGTTTATACACCCTTTTTGTTCTTTTTTTGTTGACATTTATCAATAATAATTGACTGCCCACATGGAAGAAAAATATATTTTAAATATATTTTAAAAATACATTTTTAATATATTCTTCCCAAATATATTGACATGTATTTCAAATACTACAATTTTGCCATATTCAATATATTTCAAAAATATATTTTAATATATTCGTGAATATATCATTTAAAAATAAATTCAGAACACACGCTGCAATATATATCAAAGTGTAATTTGTAATGAATTTACAAATATATTTAAAAATCTATGTTTAAATGCATTTTTTTAGATGTTCAAAAAAATCTGGAAAATGTATTTTGAAAAATATATTTTTAAATATATGCCTTTGGAAAATATATTTTTTAAATATATGCCTTTGGAAAATATATTTTTTAAATATATGCCTCTGGAAAATATATTTTTTAAATATATGCCTTTGAAAAAATATATTTTTAAATATATGCCTTTGGAAAAATATATTTTTTAAATATATGCCTTTGGAAAAATATTTTTTTTAATATATGCCTTTGGAAAAATATATTTTTAAATATATGCCTTTGAAAAAATATTTTTTAAATATATGCCTTTGGAAAATATATTTTTAAATACATGCCGTTGGAAAATATATTTTTTAAATATATATGCCTCTGGAAAATATATTTTTTAAAGATATGCCTTTGGAAAATATATTTTTAAATATATGCCTTTGAAAAAATATATTTTAAATATATGCCTTTGGAAAATATATTTTAATCTACATTTTTGGAAGACGCGTTAAAATATATTCCTGTAGGCCAATATATTGTAAATAAATGTTGCATGTATCATTTCTTTTTCTAAATATATTGAAAATATATTTCTCTTCCATATAGGATGGCTCTCAGCAGCAGCTGAATCATAATTTTTGTGGTTCATTCCTTCCTCCGGTTACGTGGCATTTTTTTTTTTGCAAATCCTTTTTGCGTTGCCAAACCGCGGTGTGCTGCAAAATAATATTTCATTATCAGAGGTGCTAATATTTACAATTTTGCTTGACTAAGACTTTCAGCTCTCTATTTAGACTTTCCAGTCAATCATCTACGGTACATATAATAATTCATGCCAGGTACTCAAAAAAAAAACAAAATTTAATAAATAATCAGTGAGAAGACATTGCACAAATTTTTTATTTACTGAAATTTTAGAGGAAATTAATACAAAACAAATATGGCTGCCATCGCCGGTCTCCTCTTGGGAAGACTCCAGCTGCCTTGCTTTGATGGAGATCCAGTTGCATCGGTACTAAGTCGTAAGTTGTAATATAGTAAATATAAAAAAACTTCCGAAAAAACTGCAACATTTTTTCTAATCCACTTGGACCAACGAATATATGAAACAAATGCCAAAAATACAAAATAAATTTGCAAAATTAATCAGGTCAACAAATATTTTGGAAACTGGATCCACCAAAAATAACATTGGAAATCAGACTGGACATTCATCATGAATTCATAAAATCTGGTCCAAGTCTAACGACATTTAATTTTTAGAGCAACTCTACTTAGCAATTTTCAGAATTTTATTACATTTCCAGAAGTTAATTTTTTAAAAAAAAATTAATGAACATCCAATGGGAAGTCCAGCTGAAGCCAATGGAAATTTTAAACCAGGTTCCAAAAAACGCCATGTTAATTTTTAGAGCAACTCTACTCAGAAATTTTCAGAATTTTATTAAATTTCCAGAAGTTAATTAGTTTTTTTTTTTTTTAATTCATGATCATCCAAAGGGAAGTCCAGCTGAAGTCAATGGGAATTTGAACCAGGTTCCAAAAAACACCATCTTATTATTTTTAGAGCAACTCTACTCAGAAATTTTCTGAATTTTGTTCAATTTCCAGAAGTAAATAAATTATCTTGATAGGAAGAGTGAGATTCTGAACTGTTTCCAAATCAGTCATAATTCAGACAATTGTTAAAAAAAAATTCATGCACATCCAATGGGAAGTCCAGCTGAAGTCAATGAAAATTTGAACCAGGCTCTAAAAAACGCCATCTTAATTTTTAGAGAATTTCTACAGAGTGAGCTTCTGAACTGTCTCCAAATCAGTCGTAGTTCAACCAATTTTTTTTTTAATTCATGAATAGTTTAGTCAAAAAATTTAAAAAAAAAAATTCATGAACATCCAAAGAAAAGAACCTCCAATGGGAAGTCCAGCCAAAGTCAACGTAAATTTGAACCAGGCTCCAAAAAACACCATCTTAATTTTTAAAGCAACTCTACTCAGCAATTTTCTGAATTTTGTTCAATTTCCAGAAGTATTTAAATTATCTTGATAGGAAGAGTGAGCTTCTGAACTGTCCCCAAATCAGTCGTAGTTCAACAATTTTTTTTTTTAATGCATGAATAGTTTAGCCAAAAAAATAAAAAAAAAATTCATGAACATCCAAAGCGAAGAACCTCCAATGGTAAGTCCAGCTGAAGTCAACGGAAATTTGAACCAGGCTCCAAAAAACGCCATCTTAATTTTTAGAGAAACTCTACTCAGAAATTTTCTGAATTTTGTTAAATTTCCAGAATTATTTAAATTATCTTGATAGGAAGAGTGAGATTCTGAACTGTCTCCAAATCAGTCATAGTTCAGCCAAATTTTTGTAAAAAAATTCATGAACATCCAAAGGGAAGTCCAGCTGAAGTCAACGGAAATCTGAACCAGGCTCCAAAAAACGCCATCTTAATTTTTAGAGCAACTACTCAGAAATTAATTTTTCCAGAGCAATCATCCAATGGGAATTCCAGCTGAAGTCAGAAATTTTTCAGATCTTAATTTTTATTCAAATTTCCAGAATTTTTGTTCAATTTCCAAGTATTTTATCTTAGGAAGATAGCTTCTGAACTGTCCCCAAAGTGAGTTCAACAATTCTGCCAAAAAATAAAAAAAAACTGTCCAAAGCGAAGAACCTCCAATGGTAAGTCCAGCTGAAGTCAACGGAAATGAACCAGGCTCCAAAAAACGCCATCTTAATTTTTAGAGAAACTCTACTCAAATTTTCTGAATTTTGTTAAATTTCCAGAAATTTAAATTATCATAGGAAGAGTGAGATTCATCCCAGTCATAAGGGAAATCCAAAGGGAAGTCCAGCTGAAGTCAACGGAAATCTGAACCAGGCTCCAAAAAACGCCATCTTAATTTTTAGAGCAACTCTACTCAGAAATTTTCAGAATTTTATTAAATTTCCAGAAGTTAATTTTTTTAAAAAAAATTCATGATCATCCAATGGGAATTCCAGCTGAAGTCAACAGAAATTTGAACCAGGCTCCAAAAAACACCATCTTAATTTTTAAAGCAACTCTACTCAGCAATTTTCAGAATTTTGTTCAATTACCAGAAGTATTTAAATTATCTTGATAGGAAGAGTGAGCTTCTGAACTGTCCCCAAATCAGTCATACTTCAACAAATTTTTTTTTTTCAATTCATGAATAGTTTAGTCAAAAAATTAAAAAAAAAAATTCATGAACATCCAAAGCGAAGAACCTCCAATGGGAAGTCCAGCTGAAGTCAATGAAAAATTTGAACCAGGCTCCAAAAAACGCCATCTTAATTTTTTAGAGAAATTTTACAGAGTGAACTTCTGAACTGTTTCCAAATCAGTCGTAGTTCAACCAATTTTTTTTTAATGCATGAATAGTTTAGCCAAAAAATAAAAAAAAATTCATGAACATCCAAAGCGAAGAACCTCCAATGGTAAGTCCAGCTGAAGTCAACGGAAATTTGAACCAGGCTCCAAAAAACGCCATCTTAATTTTTAGAGACAAGAAACTCTACTCAGAAATTTTCAGAATTTTGTTAAATTTCCAGAATTATTTAAATTATCTTGATAGGAAGAGTGAGATTCTGAACTGTCTCCAAATCAGTCATAGTTCAGCCAAATTTTTGTAAAAAAATTCATGAACATCCAAAGGGAAGTCCAGCTGAAGTCAACGGAAATTTGAACCGGGCTCCAAAAAACGCCATCTTAATTTTTAGAGAAACTCTACTCAGAAATTTTCAGAATTTTATTAAATTTCCAGAAGTTAATTTTTTTAAAAAAAAATTCATGATCATCCAATGGGAATTCCAGCTGAAGTCAACAGAAATTTGAACCAGGCTCCAAAAAACACCATCTTAATTTTTAGAGCAACTCTACTCAGAAATTTTCTGAATTTTGTTCAATTTCCAGAAGTATTTAAATTATCTTGATAGGAAGAGTGAGCTTCTGAACTGTCCCCAAATCAGTCGTAGTTCAACAAATTTTTTTTTTTTCAATTCATGAATAGTTTAGTCAAAAAATTAAAAAAAAAAATTCATGAACATCCAAAGCGAAGAACCTCCAATGGGAAGTCCAGCTGAAGTCAATGAAAATTTGAACCAGGCTCCAAAAAAGGCCATCTTAATTTTTAGAGAAATTTTACAGAGTGAGCTTCTGAACTGTTTCCAAATCAGTCGTAGTTCAACCAATTTTTTTTTAATGCATGAATAGTTTAGCCAAAAAATAAAAAAAAATTCATGAACATCCAAAGCGAAGAACCTCCAATGGTAAGTCCAGCTGAAGTCAACGGAAATTTGAACCAGGCTCCAAAAAAACGCCATCTTAATTTTTAGAGCAACTCTACTCAGAAATTTTCAGAATTTTATTAAATTTCCAGAATTATTTAAATTATCTTGATAGAAGAGTGAGATTCTGAACTATCTCCAAATCAGTCATAGTTCAGCCAAATTTTTGTAAAAAATTCATGAACATCCAAAGGGAAGTCCAGCTGAAGTCAACGGAAATCTGAACCGGGCTCCAAAAAATGCCATCTTAATTTTTAGAGCAACTCTACTCAGAAATTTTCTGATTTTGTTAAATTTCAGAATTATTTAAATTTTGATAGGAAGAGTGAGATTCTGAACTGTCTCCAAATCAGATAGTTCAGCCAAATTTTGTTTCATGAACATCCAAAAAACCTCCATGGGAAGTCCAGCTGAAGTCAATGGAAATCTGAACCGAGCTCCAAAAAATTCCATCTTAATTTTTGCAACTCTACTCAGAAATTTTCAGAATTTTATTAAATTTCCAGAAGTTCATTTTTTTCCTAAAAATTCATGATCATCCCAATGGGAATTCCAGCTGAAGTCAACAGAAATTTGAACAGGCTCCAAAAAACGCCATCTTAATTTTTAGAGCAACTCTACTCAGAAATTTTCTGAATTTTGTTCAATTTCCAGAAGTAAATAAATTATCTTGATAGGAAGAGTGAGATTCTGAACTCTTTCCCAATCAGTCATAGTTCAGCCAAATTTTTTTTAAAATATTCGTGAACATCCAAAGGGAAGTCCAGCTGAAGTTGCTGGAAATCCAAACCAGGCTCCCAAAAAAAAAAAAAAAAAAATTTGGTTCACCTTAATTTTTAATTTTACTCTACTCAGACGTTGTCCAAATTATTTTAATATTTATTTTAAAATATTACTTCTACATTTAATAAAAATCCATGTCAAATATCAGCATCCATTCCACTGAATTGCGAAATTTTGTTGGCTGCAAAAAAAAAAAAAGTGAGGTTGTTGACAAATGTGGTCGGGTGCAAATACAGTGAGTGAACATTGAGAGTGGGCGTGAGGAACGGGAGGTTCAAGAAACAGGATGTTGGCTGCAGGGTAAAATCTTGCATAAATTTCTGTTTTTTACGTATGTGGTCGCCGTCCTTGAGGAAGTGTGAAAACCTCAGATGTTCCCGGCAGTCAGAACATCACACGGAAAGATGAAGGTCTGCTTTTTCATCTGCTGGTGCTTTGTTATATATCCATGGGCATGTAAGTTGTTTTCTGTTTTTTTTTTTATTAAACTCTTAAAAAAAAAATCCTAAAAAAAATAAATAAATATAAATAAAAATATAGATAAATAAATAATAAAAAAAAAATATATATATATATATACACACACACTGCATGTTGAAAAAAAATCTGAAGAATATATTTAAATATATATATATATTTTAAAATATATTTTTTTTAAAATATATTTTTCAGATTTTTTTTTTAACCTATAAAAAAGTCAGTTTAACATATATTTTTACATATATCTTTAAATGCATTCCAAAAATGTAGATTTGAATTTTTTAAAGACATACAGTATATTTGAAATTTATTTTTAAAAAATATTTTTCATATATTTTGTAATAAAAACGAATTTCAACATGCAGTGTGTATATATATATATATATTTATTTATTTATTGAAATATATTGAATACGGCCAAAATTGCAGTATTTCAAAAAATTGGGCGGCTGGTGGTCATTGGTGCCGAGATGAGACATCCGAAGTTTATATAAAACAAATATCATCATTAAATTCTTCTTTTTACTGTAGGTGTCCCCTTAGCGCAGGCCTGTGGCCCCATGAAGAGTCTCTCTGTTGGGGGGGGCCGGTGCAGATGTGGTTCTACAATTGGACCTGAAGAATGTCCGCCTCACTTCTGTCTCCTGGGGGTATGAAAAGTTCCTCATCGCCACCACAAAGCCGGGCCAACCCTTGGAGCTGGGAGATCACGGAGCTGACTACACCGGCAGACTGAGGTCCAAATTAAAGGACGGATCATTAGTGATCTCCACTCTGTCCTCCAATGACATCCGGATCTACCGAGCGGAATTATTCACCGGAGACAAGAAAGATACATCTGTGCTCAATTGTATGATCTCAGGATCAGCGGTGAGTTCTCTACTTCATACTGTATACCCAAATATATCCCCATACATTGCCATATCTACCCCAATCCCCCCTCCCAGAACAAATCCCCCCTTCCCCAATCCCCCCTCCTAGCACAAACCCCCCCCCCCATCCCCAATCCCCCCTCCTAGCACAAATCCCCCCTTCCCCAATCCCCCCTCCTAGCACAAATCCCCCCTTCCCCAATCCCCCCTCCTAGCACAAATCCCACCCTTCCCCAACCCCCCCTAACCCAATCCCCCTCCTAGCACAAATCCCCCCTCCCCCAATCCCCCTCCTAGAACAAATCCCCCCTCCCCCAATCCCCCCTCCCAGAACAAATCCCCCCTCCCCGCAATCCCCCCTCCCAGAACAAATCCCCCCTTCCCCAATCCCCCCTCCTAGCACAAACCCCCCCCCACCCCAATCCCCCCTCCTAGCACAAACCCCCCCCATCCCCAATCCCCCCCCTAGCACAAATCCCCCCCTTCCCCAATCCCCCCCCCTCCTAGCACAAATCCCCCCTTCCCCAATCCCCCCTCCTAGCACAAATCCCACCCTTACCCCCCAACCCCCCCTGACCCAATCCCCCCTCCTAGCACAAATCCCCCCTCCCCCAATCCCCCTCCTAGAACAAATCCCCCCTTCCCCAATCCCCCCCCAGAACAAATCCCCCCTCCCGCAATCCCCCCCCTCCTAGAACAAATCCCCCCTCCCCCAATCCCCTCTGCTAGCACAAAGCTCCCCCCCCTCCCCAATCCCCTCTCCAAGCACAAATCTCCCCCTTTCCCCAACCCCCCCTAACACAAATCCCCCCCCCTTCCCCAATCCCTCCTCCTAGCACAAATCCCCCCCCTTCCCCAATCCCCTCTCCAAGCACAAATCTCCCCCCTTCACCCAAACCCCCCCCCTCCTAACACAAATTCCCCCCCCCCCCCTTCCCCAATCCCCTCTCCTAACACAAATTCCCCCTCCTTCCCCAATCCCCCCCTCCTAGCACAAATCCCCCCCCCCCCTTCCCCAACCCCCCCTCCTAACACAAATTCCCCCCCCTTCCCCAATCCCCTCCTCTAACACAAATTCCCCCCCCCCTTCCCCAATCCCCCCTCGTAGCACAAATCTCCCCTTCCCCAATCCCCGTCCTAGTATAAATTCCCCACCAATCCCCCCTCCTAAGACAAATCTCCCCTCCCCCAATCACTTTGCCTAACACAAATCCTCCCAGCACCAATCCTCTTCATTCGATCCCCCACCTAGGATAAAGTCCCCCAAATCCCTCCCCTAGCTAAAGCCAACCATTCTCAGAATAATTCCCCCACCTTATCCAAATCCCCTCTCCTGCTTTAAGCATACCCCCCCCCCCCCCCCCCCGCAGGCTTCCTTGCTCCAGGCTGCTCTCCCCTTGTCCCAGGGGATGGGTGAAGGCACTCAGAGTCCAGGCACTGCATCCATGGAGAGACCGACCTGGGGGGGGGACAACTTAAATCTGGGGGCGGTGTAGCCCATCCCAGCACCCCCTTAGATCCGGCCATGGTGGTGAATTGGGAAACCAGTGGCTGTGGCACTGCGCCCTAGGCAGCTGCCCTGTTTGTCTAGAAAACATAAAAAGCAGTAAAAAAGATACCCTGCTGCCAGCAACACAAGAACCCCCAGTAACAATAGACCCACTCCAGCAACAATAGACCCCCTCCAGCAACAATAGACCCCCTCCAGCAACAATAGACCCACTCCAGCAACAATAGACCCACTCTAGCAACAACAGACTCACTCCAGCAGCAATAGACCCACTCCAGCAACAACAGACCCATCCAGCAACAATAGACCCACTCCAGCAACAACAGACCCACTCCAGCAACAGTAGACCCAATCCAGCAACAATAGACCCACTCCAGCAACAACAGACCCACTCCAGCAACAATAGACCCACTCCAGCAACAATAGACCCACTCCAGCAACAACAGACCCACTCCAGCAACAATAGACCCACTCCAGCAACAACAGACCCACTCCAGCAACAACAGACCCACTCCAGCAACAATAGACCCACTCCAGCAACAACAGACCCACTCCAGCAACAACAGACCCACTCCAGCAACAATAGACCCAATCCAGCAACAATAGACCCACTCCAGCAAAACAGACCCACTCCAGCAACAATAGACCCACTCCAGCAACAATAGACCCACTCCAGCAACAACAGACCCACTCCAGCAAAATAGACCCACTCCAGCAACAATAGACCCCGTCCAGCAACAACAGACCCACTCCAGCAACAATAGACCCAATCCAGCAACAACAGACCCCGTCCAGCAGCAATAGACCCACTCCAGCAACAATAGACCCCCCTCCAGCAACAATAGACCTACTCCAGCAACAATAGACCCCCTCCAGCAACAATAGACCCGCTCCAGCAGTAATAGACCCGCTCCAGCAACAATAGACCCCCTCCAGCAACAATAGACTCCCTCCAGCAACAACAGACCCACTCCAGCAGCAATAGACCCACTCCAGCAACAATAGACCCACACCAGCAACAATAGACCCCCTCCAGCAACAATAGACCCACTCCAGCAGCAATAGACCCACTCCAGCAACAATAGACTCCCTCCAGCAACAATAGACCCACTCCAGCAACAATAGACCCGACCCAGCAACAATAGACCCACTCCAGCAGCAATAGACCCTTCCCAGCAACAATAGACCCACTCCAGCAGCAATAGACCCTTCCCAGCAACAATAGACCCACTCCAGCAACAATAGACCCACTCCAGCAACAATAGACCCACTCCAGCAACAATGGACCCACTCCAGCAACAATAGACCCATTCCAGCAACAACAGACCCACTCCAGCAACAATGGACCCACTCCAGCAACAATAGACCCATTCCAGCAACAATAGACCCACTCCAGCAACAATAGACCCATTCCAGCAACAACAGACCCCCTCTCAACAGTAGACACCTTCCAGCAACAATAGACCTTTCCCTCATCAAAAGATCCCCCCAGCAACAATAGATCCCCAAGTACACCTCGGCACTCCTTGCCATTAGATACATTCAGTGCTGGAGGTGCCGGGTTCCTCCCGCGGTCCTGGATGCACCTACCTTCATATACATGGCACTGTAGCTTAGCTGCCCCCATTGTCCAGGCTTCCATAGCCAGCACCATCCAAGTGGTAGAGTCCAGCGCTGGTCTTGTTTCCTCCTGCCTCTGATTATTTCCCCCCATCAAGGAGACATGGGAACCCCACACAACCCTTCCACAAATCATCTACCCAACCCAGTCATTGCATCACCAATGTTTCCCAACACGCCGACCTCCTCTAGATACAACAGAAAACAGTTCGCTGCACAGGACGACTTCTTCCCACTCGGCAATAACGACTATTCCTATCCTTCTAATCTGCAGGAAACAAAGGCTTGTCCCCGAGAATTGCAGGTAAGTTACATTTTCCGTCATGCCATTCATTACTAACAACTGATGTGAGGAGGGGCTCTATTAGGGACATTGATGTAAGGGGGAACTCTGATGGGGACACCTGATGTAAGGGGGAACTCTGATGGGGACACCTGATGTAAGGGGAACTCTGATGGGGACACCTGATGTAAGGGGGAACTCTGATGGGGACACCTGATGTAAGGGGGAACTCTGATGGGGACACCTGATGTAAGGGGGCACTCTAATGGGGACACCTGATGTAAGGGGGAACTCTCATGGGGACACTGATGTAAGGGCACCTAATGGGGACACCTGATGTAAGGGGGGAACTGATGTAAGGGGGAACTCTCATGGGAACACCTGATATAAGGGGGAACTCTCATGGGGACACCTGATATAAGGGGGGGAACTCTCATGGGGACACCTGATGTAAGGGGGAACTTTAATGGGGACACCTGATGTAAGGGGAACTTCTGATGGGGACACCTGATGTAAGGGGAACTCTCATGGGGACACCTGATGTAAGGGGGAACTCTCATGGGGACACCTGATGTAAGGGGGAACTCTCATGGAGACACCTGATATAAGGGGGAACTCTCATGGGGAAACCTGATGTAAGGGGGAACTCTCATGGGGACACCTGATGTAAGGGGGCACTCTCACCACCTGATGTAAGGGGCACTCTGATGGGGACACCTGATGTAATGGGGCACTCTGATGAAGACAATTGATGTGAGGAGGGGCTCTATTATGGAACTCTGATGGGGACACGTGATGTAGGGGGGCACTCTCATGGGGACAATTGATGTGAAGAGGGGGCTATATTAGGGACACTAATGTAAGTGGGAACTCTGATGGGGACACCTGATGTAAGGGGGAACTCTCATGGGGGACACCTGATATAAGGGGGAACTCTCATGGGGACACCTGATGTAAGGGGGAACTCTCATGGGGACACCTGATGTAAGGGGGAACTCTAATGGGGACACCTGATGTAGGGGGAACTCTCATGGGGAACTGATGTAAGGGGGCACTTTAATGGGGACACCTGATGATGTAAGGGGGAACTCTCATGGGGACACCTGATGTAAGGGGGAACTCTCTCATGGGAACACCTGATGTAAGGGGGAACTCTGATGGGGACACATGATGGGGGCACTCCATGGGACACCTGATGTAAGGGGGCACTTTAATGGGGGGCACCTGATGGGATGGGGACACCTGATGTAAGGGGAACTCTCATGGGGACACCTGATGTAAGGGGGAACTCTCATGGGGACACCTGATATAAGGGGGAACTCTCATGGGACACTCTAAGGTGGAACTCTCATGGGGAACACCTGATGTAAGGGGGAACTCTCATGGGGACACCTGATGTAAGGGGGCACTCTCATGGGGACACCTGATATAAGAGGGCACTCTGATGGGGACACCTGATGTAATGGGGCACTCTGATGAAGACATTGATGTGAGGGGGCTCTATTAGGCGGAACTCTGATGGGGACACGTGATGTAGGGGGGCACTCTGATGAGGACAATTGATGTGAAGAGGGGCTACTCTTAGGGACACTAATGTAAGTGGGAACTCTGATGGGGACACATGATGTAAGGGGGGCACTCTGATGAGGACAATTGATGTGAGGAGGGGCTCTATTAGGCGGAACACTGATGAAGATACATGATGTAGGGGGGCACTCTGATGAGAACAACTGATGTGAGGAGGGGCTATATTAGGGACACTAATGTAAGGGGGAACTCTGATGGGGACACATGATGTAAGGGGGCACTCTGATGGGGACACATGATGTAGGGGGGCACTCTGATGGGGACACATGATGTAAGGGGGCACTCTGATGGGGACACATGATGTAGGGGGGCACTCTGATGGGGACACATGATGTAGGGGGGCACTCTGATGAGATCAATTGATGTGAGGAGGGGCTCTATAAGGGACATTGATGTAAGGGGGCACTTTGATGGGGACACATGATGTAGGGTGTGTGCCCCCCTGACTTTGTCTCACTGCACCCCCAGATCAGATAGGCTAGATCCAGCCATCTGAAAACCTATTTTGATACAAATATTGAACCAGAAGATGACTGCACTCCTTACAGGTGGTGCCTATAGTATCAGCGACACACTTCACTGAAGCGATGAGACGTTTCCAGCACTCCATTGCAAACACATACACTCTTTATTACTCCCATGTCACATCAGTCAACATTTCGGGGCCACACAGGGTCCTTTCCTCAAGATGATAAATCGAGTCTACATGGAACCCTGGAACCCCGACTGACTTGACTGGGGTGACCTTACAACAGGGTGACACTGACGGGGGTGCTTAGAAATAACTTTTGAGCAGGGGCGGACTGACCACACGCGGGTACTTGGGCACTGCCCGAGGGCCCGGGGTCAGTAGGGGGCCCCATGAGATGTCCCTGGTACCTTTCATAGGCTTTTTTGGGTGTGGTTTCAGTGTAGGCGAGGACACAGGGGCCCCATGATCCCCTATTGCCCGGGGGCCCCATGAGTTGTCAGTCCACCCCTGCTTTTGAGCATTTTATAAACCATTTAACGGAACTTTTTTTTGTCTTTTAATAGAACCTAAAGAATCGTGTAATGGCACAAAGCAATTATTTCACCGCCTCGGGGAGACTGTTACCCTACAACTTCCCAGTCGTTCAGGAGTCGCATTTATTGTGTGGGATATTAATAATATCGATCACATCGCCATCACCAGGCCGGATCAGGTGGAGCGGCAAAATTATTGCTACGCCGATAGACTTTCTGCCACGAGCGACGGATCTTTACGGTTGTCCCGGATAACCACCAACGATGAGCGGGTCTTCAGAGCAGAGGTTTATTCCGATGACTGGAGACATCACTGCGCACAACTTTTTGAAGTAAAGCTACAAAGTAAGTCTGAGACTCGTAACATTTTTGTCTTAAAGGGTATTTCCACTTTGGCAGCTGCAGCACTACCCCCTTAGGAGTCGCTGAAGTTTGGGTTCCTCTATAGTCCTGTACAACTAGGCATCACCGTTTCCTTCACACAGACTTGCATCCAGGAGAGAGTCCTTCAGCTTTGCTTTGAAGTTTTGGTAGGGGATTGACCTTGGATGGGGCAAGGGGCGTACGGGATGCCCAAGGGGATAGTAACTGAGGCCAACTTCTGGGAACTATGTACAAGTCTCTAGAAAAAAGTCCTCTTCTTGGAGAGCTTGCCAGTTTCTCTGGATGTACCACCCCAGACCCCAGATACTCCTTTATCTGGCTGCTTGGAGGAATCCCCGGACAGGGAATTCAGTGCCTGTAGGCAGCTAATCCAGTTACCCACTAGACTGCTCCTTCTTCTTACCGGCCCAGGGGTTGTAGGTCTACTCACTCAGTCCTCCATCTGTGAGTGGATGGGTTGGTGGCTGCTACCAGTCCTTCTAGCTGGTCCTCTCTCTAGGGGCCGATGAGGTTCTGAGTTTTGCTCCGGAGGTAGGCCCCTTCCCATCTGGGCCCCCTCCTAGGCTCCTGCTCTCCAGCCTCACTTCTCCATCTTCCACACGAACTCTCCTGCTGCTGAGCAGGCTCGGTCACTCTTAAAGGCTGTCCTGGCCCCTTGCCAAGCCTCCTGTTGGGGATTGGCCAGGATCCCTCGAGAGTACTCCTCTGCCCATTGCTTCTAGAACTTTCTCCAAAGTTCTAGTGCAGGGGGAAGTCTCAGAGAGCTAGTCTTCAGAGCCTCTCAGCCCTGACCTAAATTTGACCCTGCTAGCCATCACACCCAGGCTGCTACTCAGCCCTCCTCACTAACAATTGAAACTAGCTCAGGGGTAGGCAACCTGGGAGCCGCAGGACTACAAGTTTCCATCATGCCTCTGCAAGTCATAGCTGTAACTGTCAGTTTTGTAATCTTTGAAATGCCTCATGGGAAATGTAGTTCCACAACAGCTAGGGAGCCGCAGGTTGCCTACCCCTGCCCTAGCTGATTTGGGGTAATATCTACTTTATATTTGCTACATGTCCCCATGTCATCACGTCACCTTCTTCAGGTGCTCGTTAATGGAACTTCCAGCAATGAAAATATTCGACTTTGTATGATGGGGATGGAGTTTGCCATAATTAACCTCGTGTGTACTGTGCAGGAAAATATCCTCTGATTGGAGGTACTAGATTTGAACCCTAATAGACAGAAGATAATTGCTCAGCTGAAGGCTGCGATCCCCAACTCTCACTGATGACGGGAGAAGGTTCCTTCTAGTCATTGGCTACATCTACCAGGACCGCCCACTGTATTGAATGCCTCATAACCATCATCAGTCCAAGGAAACAACCGGTCCATCCAAGATGGAAACATCCCAACGCGTTTCATTCGGCAAGGAGCTTCATCACTGGGTTACTGGAGTTCCTGGAGTTGCTGTAGAGTAGATTTGAACCCTGTTTTAACAAAGGCTTAGGAGCATTATGGGGCCTCATGCCGCCTCTTCACCGTTTTAATTCCATGGATTCCAGTGCGTCTGCTGCCTTTGCAGCTAGAGGGGGAAATTGGTGGAAGGGATAAAAATGTCATTCAACCACATGTTTTTACTGACCCCCCAACCGCAGGTCGAACCAAGCCCTAAAGGGACTTGTTCAGTTTCCAAAGATCACCCAATCACAGGCAAGGAAAAAAAAAATGAAAGAAACAGGATTTTTTGCTGGCCATCGATTGGACGATGGAACTCAGCAAAGCTTCACCTCATTCACACAGCTAAGGGAAATTTCTCTTGCAATGAGAAAATTTGCTTTGCTGAGTGAACAGCCTATGTTCCTTTATTAACCGCTTAAGGACCGCCCTATAACAGCTCTACTGCTACAGGGTGGCACTTGTGCGCAAAATCACATATATATACGTGATTTTGCATTTCAGGGTAGGGGGCATGCGCGCTGAGGGGATGGACGCTGCTCAACCGACCCCAGGAGTCCAATGTTGAAGAATGGTCTCTGAAGACACCGTTCTGGCCATGCCCTCTGACGTGTTTCGTCCCGTCCACCGGAGCTTGGTCACAGTGGACCTCTGTGACCAAGCCCCGGTGGGCAGGGTGCAACACATCAGTGGATGTGGCCAGAATGGCGGCTGAGGCCATTACTCAACATTGGACTCCTGGGGTTGGTTGAGCAGCATCCATCCCTTCACTTGTATTGGTGTGGAATCGCTCGGACTCATGCTCCCCTCTCCTCACTTCCCGGTGGGGTGATCTTTTTCCTTCCGTCCATAGCTTGGAGCGGCCCCATAAGGTACACTTTTCACTATGGGGTTTACAGCTACAGCGGGCAAAAAATAATTATTTGATTCCCCGGCCGATTTTGTAAGTTTGCCCACTTACAAAGAAATGAAGGGTCTATAATTTTTATCATAGGTGTATTTTAAATGATAGAGACAGAATATCTAAACGGAGCTGCGGTTCGGTGAGTAAAATAAGTATTTGATCCCCAAGAAAAACATGACTTAGTACTTGGTGGAGGAACCCTGGTTGGTGAGCACAGAGGTGAGACATTTCCTGTACTTGGTGGAGGAACCCTTGTTGGCGAACACAGAGGTCAGACGTTTCCTGTACTCGGTGGAGAAACCCTTGTTGGTGAGTACAGAGGTCAGATGTTTCCTGTACTTGGTGGAGGAACCCTTGTTGGCGAACACAGAGGTGAGAAGTTTACTGTACTTGGTGGAGGAACCCTTGTTGGTGAGCGCAGAGGTGAGACGTTTCCTGTACTTGGTGGAGGAATCCTTGTTGGTGAGCGCAGAGGTGAGACGTTTCCTGTACTCGGTGGAGGAACCCTTGTTGGTGAGCGCAGAGGTGAGACGTTTCCTGTACTTGGTGGAGGAACCCTTTTTGGTGAGCGCAGAGGTCAGACCTTTCCTGTACTCGTGGAGGAACCCTTGTTGGCGAGCACAGAGGTCAGATGTTTCCTGTACTCGGTGGAGGAATCCTTGTTGGTGAGCACAGAGGTCAGACGTTTCCTGTACTCGGTGGAGGAACCCTTGTTGGTGAGCACAGAGGTCAAACGTTTCCTGTACTCGGTGGAGGAATCCTTGTTGGCGAGCACAGAGGTCAGACGTTTCCTGTACTCGGTGGAGGAATCCTTGTTGGCGAGCACAGAGGTCAGACGTTTCCTGTACTCGGTGGAGGAACCCTTGTTGGTGAGCACAGAGGTCAGACATTTCCTGTACTTGGTGGAGGAACCCTTGATGGCAATCACAGAGGTCAGACGTTTCTCGTAGTTGATTCCCAAGTTTGCAGACATCTCAGGAGGGATTTTGGTCCTCTTTTCTTTACAGATCTTCTCCAAATCATTTAAGGTTTCTTGGCTGTTGCCTGGCAACTCGAAGTTTCAGCTCCTTCCATACATTTTCTATGGGATGAAGGTCTGGAGACTGGCTAGGCCACTCCATAACCTTAATGTGCTTCTTCTTGAGCCAATCTTTTGTTGCCTTGGCGGTATATTTTGGGTCATTTGTCATGCTTGAAGACCCGCCCACGAACCTATCTTCAGTGTTTCGGCTGAGGAAAGAAGGTTCTCATCCAAGATTTTACAATACACGGCCCCATTCATCCAATGCGGCAAAGACGGCCTGTACCTTTAGCAGAGAAACAGCCCCAAAGCATAATGTTCCCACCTCTGTGCTTGACTGTGAGGATGGTGTACTTAGGGTCATAGTCAGCATTTTTCTTCCTCCAAATACGGTGAGTCGCGTTAATGCCAAAGAGCTAAATTTTGGTCTCATCTGACCACAGAACGTTCTCCCAATCCTTCTCCGAATCATTTAGATGTTCACTGGCAAACTTCAGACGGGCCTGTACATGTGCCTTCTTGAGTAGGGGGACCTTGCTGGATTTCAATTCATTGCGTTACCAGTGGCTTGTTTGATGACTGTTGTCCAGCTGCCTGGAGATCATTCACAAGCTCCTCCCATGTAGTTCTGGGTCGATTCCTCACTGCTCTCAAGATCATTGACACTCCACAAGGTGAGATCTTGCATGGTGCACCAGACCTAGGGAGACTGACACTTGTTTTGTGTTTCTTCCATTTGCGAATGATTGCTCCAACTGTTGTCACCTTCTCACCAAGCTGCTTGGCGATAGTTTGGTAGCCCAGTCCAGCCTTGTGTAGGTCTACAATCTTGTCCCTAACATCCTTGGACATCTCTTTGGCCTTGAGATCATTCACAAGCTCCTCCAATGTAGTTCTAGGCTGATTCCTTACTTTTCTCGTGATCATTGACACTCCACGAGGTGAGGTCTTGCATGGTGCACCAGACCTAGGGAGACTGACACTTGTTTTGTGTTTCTTCCATTTGCGAATGATTGCACCAACTGTTGTCACCTTCTCACCAAGGGTTGTCACCTTCTCACCAAGCTGCTTGGCCATAGTTTGGTAGCCCAGTCCAGCCTTGTGTAGGTCTACAATCTTGTCCCTGACATCCTTGGACAGCTCTTTGGCCTTGAGATCATTCACAAGCTCCTCCCACGTAGTTCTGGGCTGATTCCTTACTTTTCCCACAATCCTCCTTCTCCCATGAGGAGAAATTTTGCATGGAGCTCCAGACCGAGGGCGATTGATGGTGATTTTGTAATTTTTCTATTGGCAAATAATTGCTCCAACAGATGTCAAGCTTCTTGCTGATGGTCTTGTAGCCCATTCCAGCCTTGTACCTTGACAGGACTAATCTGCGTACCACATGAGCACATAGCCAGTCTCTGGGAGCCAGAACTATTGTTGGTAGGGGATCAAACACTTATTTTACTCACTGAACTGCAACTAAATGTATAAAATTTGTATCGCGTGTTTTTTTTCTGGATTTTTGGTTGATATCCTATCTCTATCCTTTAAAATACACCCATGATAAAAATTATAGACCCTTCAATTCTTTGTAAGAGGTGCAAACTTACAAAATCTGCAGGGGTTCAAATACTTATTTTCTCCGCTGTACTTGAAAATATGGAAAATAATAATTTTTTTTTACTTTAGATATACTGTAAAAAACTGCATTTTTAATTTAGGCTTTTTGGGTTTTTTTTTTTTTTACAACCCCCCGCAGTTAATGCCTCATACAATCTGACATTTCCTTAAGGGTCTCGAAAATTGCACAATTCGTGAGATATTTCTGAACAATAACAGGAAATGTTTCTAAAGAAGAGGAAAAAAAAAGAGAAAACAGAGGAAAAAAAAGGAACTGTAACAAATGACTTCTGCTTTTTACGGAACATGGAAAAATGTCGTTTCTTGGAATGATATTTTTTCGAAATGATGGACAGAGGAGGTGGAGCTGTTAGATCGTGGACAATGATAGACTGGATCGAAGGAAAGAGGTTTAGGAGATTGTGAGAGCCAATCGATTAATTCAGAATCCAAGGGTGACAAGCAGCTCGATGCCGAGGTCAGGAAGTAGCTGCCAAGAGTTTCTTTTGCCTTTAGCACCCCCTACCTGTTCCCTCAAGGCAGGAAGTCCTACCAGTGCTTGGTTGCCCCCGGGTTTTAGAACCCAATGTTCCAGTTCAGGTGGCACCAGGACTAAGTGAATGAGACAAGGAAGTCTTGAAGCTGTTCTGGCAGAAGGTGGTTATGGCTGGTAACAGAGTCCTGGTAATGTGTTGGGTCAAGATAGGCAGTGGCAAGCATAATCCAGTAGATATTTCTGAGGTCAGGGCAGGTAGTGAGCAACCATAATCCAATAGGCAGTCCTGAAGTCAGGTCCGGAAATGAGCATGTGGAATCCAGTAGACAGTTCAGAGCTCAGGGCAGGTAGAAAGCGAACATTGTCCAATAGACAGTTCCGAGGTCAGGGAAGGTAGCGAGCAAGTTTAATCCAGTAGACTGTTCTGAGGCCAGGGCAAGTAGTGAGCAACCATAATCCAATAGACATTCAGGGATGGAATCAAGCAAGCGTAATGCAGTAGACAACTACAAGGTCAAGGCAGGGAGCAAGCAAACATGATCCAGTGGACGGTTCTGAGGTCAGGTCAGGAAATGAGCAAGTGGAATCCAGTAGACAGTTCAAAGGTCAGGGCAAGTAGAAAGCGAACATAATCCAATAGACAGTCAGGGATGGAATCAAGCAAGAGCAATGCAGTAGACAACTACAAGGTCAGGGCAGGGAGCAAGCAAGCATGATCCAGTAGATGGTTCTGAGGTCAGGGCAAATAGTGAGCAAGCATAATCCAATAGGCAATCCTGAAGTCAGGTCAGGAAATGAGCAAGTGTAATCCAGTAGACAGTTCAGAGGTCAGGACAGGTAGAAACGAACATAATCCAATAGACTGTTTCAAGATCAGGGAAGGTAGCGAGCAAGTGTCAGGTCAGGGAGCAAGCAGGGATGATCCAGTAGACGGTTCTGAGGTCAGGGCAAGTAGTGAGCAAGCATAATCCAATAGGCAGTCCTGAAGTCAGGTCAGGAAATGAGCAAATGGAATCTAGCAGACCGTTCAGAGGTCAGGGCAGGTAGCAAGCGAGCATAATCCAATAGACAGTTCTGATGTCAGGGAAGTAGCGAGCAAGTGTAATCCAGTAGACGGTTCTGAGGTCAGGGCAGGAACGGAACAAGTGTAATCGAGTAGACGGTTCTGATGTCAGGGAAGATAGCAAGCAAGTGTAATCCAATAGACAGTCAGGGATGGAATCAAGCAAGTGTAATGCAGTAGACAACTCCAAGGTCAGGGCAGGGAGCAAGCAAGCAGGGATGGTTCAGTAGATGGTTCTGAGGTCAGGAGAAGTAGTGAGCAAGCATAATCCAATAGACAGTCCTGAAGTCAGGTCAGGAAATGAGCAAGTGGAATCCAGTAGACAGTTCAGAGGTCAGGGCAGGTAGAAAGCGAGTATAATCCAATAGACAGTTCTGAGGTCAGGGAAGGTAGCGAGCAAGTATAATCCAGTAGACCGTTCTGAGGTCAGGACAAGTAGTGAGCAACCATAATCCAATAGACAGTCCAAAAGTCAGGTCAGGAAATGAGCAAGTGGAATCCAGTAGACAGTCTCAAGGTCAGGGCAGGGAATAAACAAGCATAATCCAGTAGACAATTCTGTCGTCAGGACAAGTAGTGAGTAAGCATAACCAAACAGACAGTTCTGAGGTCGGGGTTAGAAGGAAACAAGTGTAATCCAACAGACAGTTCTGGGGTCAGGGCAGGAAGTGACCAAGTTCAATCCAACAGACAGTCCTGAGGTCAGGGCAGGAAGTGAACAAGCATAGTCCAATAAACAGTTCCAAGGTCAGGGCAGGAAGCAGGCAAGTGTAATTCAGTAGACAGTCCGAGGTCAGGGCAGGAAGTGACCAAGTTCAATCCAACAGACAGTCCTGAGGTCAGGGCAGGAAGTGAACAAGCATAGTCCAATAAACAGTTCCAAGGTCAGGGCAGGAAGCAGGCAAGTGTAATTCAGTAGACAGTCCGAGGTCAGGGCAGGAAGTGACCAAGTGTATTCCTGTAGACAGTCCAAGGTCAGGGCAGGTAGCAGGCAAGTGTAATTCAGTAGACAGTTCCAAGGTCAGGGCAGGAAGCAGGCAAGTGTAATCCAACAGACAGTTCCAAGGTCAGGGCAGGAAGTGACCAAGTGTAATCCAACAGACAGTTCTGAGGTCAGGGCAGGAAGTGAACAAGCAAGCATAGTCCAATAAACAGTTCTGAGGTCAGGGCAGGTAGCAGGCAAGTGTAATCCAACAGACAGTTCTGAGGTCAGGGCAGGAAGGGACCAAAAGTATTCCAGTAGACAGTCCAAGGTCAGGGCAGGAAGTGACCAAGTGTATTCCAGTAGACAGTCCAAGGTCAGGGCAGGTAGCAGGCAAGTGTAAATTCAGTTGACAGTCCGAGGTCAGGGCAGGAAGTGACCAAGTTTATTCCTGTAGGCAGTCCAAGGCCAGGGCAGGAAGTGACCAAGTGTATTCCTGTAGACAGTCCAAGGTCAGGGCAGGTAGCAGACAAGTGTAATTCAGTAGATAGTCCGAGTCAGGGCAGGAAGTGACCAAGTTCAATCCAACAGACAGTTCTGAGGTCAGGGCAGAAAGTGACCAAGTGTAATTCAACAGACAGTTCTGAGGTCAGGGCAGGAAGTGACCAAGTGTAATTCAACAGACAGTTCTGAGGTCAGGGCAGGAAGCAAATATAATTCCAGTAGGCAGGTAGCAGGCAATTGTAATCCAGTAGACAGTACGAGGTCAGTGCAGGAGGTGACCAAGTGTAATCCAGTAGACAGTCTGAGGTCAGGACAGGAGGTGACCAAGTGTAATCCAGTGGACAGTCCGAGGTCAGGGCAGGAGGTGACCAAGTGTAATCCAGTGGACAGTCCGAGGTCACGTTCATGTTGCAATCCAAAGGAGTAGTCAGGGTGGAAGACAATGGTCAGCAACCAACAATCCAAAGGACAAGCTGAGCATGACAGGAAGAGAGGTAAGTAGCTGATGCTATCGGAATCGTAGAACCCGGGGCTTGTACCGATCCAATCGGCTGTCCTTCTCTAACACCAGATTTCAATCTGGTGTTAGAGGAGAACAGCCGATTGGATGGTTGCAGCCATGGGCAGGGGTGGGGGTGTGCCTACTGGTTAATCCAACAGAGGAGCAATGCTAGGCACCCGGAGCCACCCACTGCCTTAGCTGCAGGGACCCTCAGCAGGAGCCTGCCACCTCCAACCAGGCCAGGCCCCCTGTAGGCACCACAAGGTTCTGAACTTTAGCACCGCTGTTACCTAAATATAAATATATAATATTTTATATAACAATTAGACTATTTCGGGTTCAATTTCAAATTAAATTCAAATTTTAAGTTTCAAATTGTAGTTAAAAAAAAAAAAAAAAATATATATATATATATAGCTAAATTATCCATTAATTACATTGTATTTCTAAACATGATTTTGTAACTGTTTTCTTTTAACTGTCTTTTTTTTTTTTTTTTAGAAAAAGATTCAACGACATCTACTGCAATCTATCTGGGATTGTCAGGTTGTGTTTTCCTTGTCGCTTGATTATATTACTCCACCACATTGGGACAGAGTGTACAGCCAACTGATAAAGGTTTCTCCAAGCTGGTCTGAAAAAAAAAAAGGAAGTTGTAATCACTTTATGAAGTATTCAAACTTGAGCAGGAAATGCAAAAAAAAAAAATTTTGTCATGAAGAAAAAAAAAAGGAAAAAAGATGTTGTAATCACTTTATGAAGTATTAAAAATTGAGCAGGAAATGCAAAAAAAAAAACATTGTCATGAAGAAAAAAACAAAAATGGAAAAAAGAAGTGGTAATCACTTTATGAAGTATTAAAAACTGAGGAGGAAATGCAAAAAATAATATTGTCATGAAGAAAAAAAGAAAAGAAAAAAGAAGTTGTAATCACTTTATGAAGTATTAACAATTGAGCAGGAAATGCGAAAAAAAATATTGTCATAAAAAAAAGGAAAAAAGAAGTTGTAATCACTTTATGAATTATTAAAATTTAAGCAGGAAATGCAAAAAAAATTGTCATGAAGGAAAAAAAAAAAGTAAAAAAGAAGTTGTAATCACTTTATGAAGTATTAAAAATTGAGCAGAAAATGAAAATTGTCATGAAAAAAAAAAAAGTTGTAATCACTTTAGGAATTATTAAAATTTGAGCAGGAAATGCAAAAAATAATATTGTCATGAAGAAAAAAAGAAAAGAAAAAATAAGTTGTAATCACTTTATGAAGTATTAACAATGGAGCAGAAAATGCGAAAAAAAATATTGTCATAAAAAAAAGGAAAAAAGAAGTTGTAATCACTTTATGAAGTATTAAAAATTTGAGCAGGAAATGCAAAAAAAAAAAATATTGTCATGAAGAAAAAAAAAGGAAAAAAGAAGTTGTAATCACTTTATGAAGTATTAAAAATTGAGCAGGAAATCCAAAAAAAAATATTGTCATGAAGAAAAAAAAAGGAAAAAAGAAGTTGTAATCACTTTATGAAGTATTAAAAATTGAGCAGGAAATCCAAAACGAAAATATTGTCATGAAAAAAAAAAAAAAAAGTTGTAATCACTTTAGGAATTATTAAAATTTAAGCAGGAATTGCAAAAAAAAATATTGCTATGAAGAAAAAAAAAAAAGGAAAAAAGAAGTTGCAATCACTTTATGCATTATTAAAAATTGAGCAGAAAATGCAAAAAAAAAATATTGTCATGAAGGAAATGCAAAAAAAAAAAAGTCATGAAGAAAAAAAAAGAAGTTGGAATCACTTTATGAAGTATTAAAAATTGAGCAGGAAATGCAAAAAATAATATTGTCATGAAGAAAAAAAAAGGAAAAAAGAAGTTGGAATCACTTTATGAATTATTAAAAATTGAGCAGGAAATACAAAAAAAAAAATTGTCATGACCATACATGTCATACTAGAGAAATATTTAATTTGCTAGTCAATAAATCTGACCTCCAACCTCTCTTGTACGGGCTCCTCTCCTCTACTGCAATTGCTCACCATGTGGCATTAGAAGCTTGTTAATGATAGAAATAACATTTATTAGAGAAAAAAAAAAAAAAAAATTGTAAAATATAAAAAAATCATATTTATATTAAAAAAAAAAACATTAACGCACCACTGTCTCCCCTGTATGCAACCCAATTCAAATGCACAATGCTGAGCTATGGCTGTGAACGTCAGACTGATGGCAATAAATTTAGAGAGATAATTCATGGTCGACTCTAAATCGATAGTCTGTAAAGATTTTTAAATCATCACTATGGACGACTTGGGGAAGCGCAGTTTTTTGAGATTTCACTGTCATGCACAAGTTTAAGACTTGACATGTTTGGTGTCTATCTACTCAAAGCAATATTATATTTTATATTATCCAAAAAAGTGAGTATTAGATTGTAAGCTCCCAGGATCAGGGCCCTCCTAACCCTCTTGTATTGAACTGTATTGTTGCTGTATTGTCTCTCTTTATATTGTAAAGTGCTGAGCAAACTGTTGGTGCGATATATAATCCTGTAATAATAATAATAATATTGTGTTAGCACTAAAAATAAATTTGTTTGTATTTTTTTCCTGAAATATCGTGTTTGACAAAAAACAGTGCAAATATCATGAAGAAAAAAAAAATTGCAAGAATATATTTTAAAAAATATATATATTTAAAAAAATATATATATATATATATTTTTTATTTAAATATATTCTTCATATATTTTTTTTTTTTTTAAATACTTCATATATAAAAAAGTCATTTTAACATATATTTTTACATACATTTGTAAATGCATTCCAAAAAATAATACAGATTTGTATTTTGTAAAGACACACAGTATATTTGAAATGTATTTTATATTTGGGATGAATATTTTTTAAAATATATCCTTCAGATTTTTTTGAACATATAAAAAAGTTGCAGTGTATATATATAGATACACTGCAATAAAAATATTTTGTAATGCAAAATTTTATTTTTTTATAGTTATCTATATATTTGTATATAAACTTCATATCAACATGCAGTGTAATCTACATATATATATATATATATATATATATATATTATACACACACATATACACACACACATACATACATTTATTGAAATATATTTAGAACTATATTGAATATGACCAAAATTGTAATATTTCAAATGTATGTCAATATATTTGGGATGCATATTTTTAAAAAATATTCTTCAGATTTTTTTGCGCAAATAAAAAATTTTGTAAAAAAAATATCTTGCATATATTTGATAATAAAAACGCATTTCAATATGCAGTGTATTATATATATATATATACATATATATAATATATACATACATTTATTGAAATATATTTAGAACTATATTGAATACGACCAAAAATTGTAATATTTCAAATGTATGTCAATATATTTGGGATGAATATTTTTAAAATATTTTAAAATATTTTTAAAATATCTTCAGATTTTTTTGCGCAGACAAAAAATTTTGTAAAAAAAATATCTTGCATATATTTAATAATAAAATATATAATAATTTAATAATAAAAACGCATTTCAACATGCAGTATATATATAGATAGATAATAGATAGATAGATAGATAGATAGATAGATAGATAATTAGATAGATAGATAGATAGATAGATAGGAAGATAGATAGATAGATAGATAGATAATAGATAGATAATAGATAGATAGATAGATAATAGATAGATAGATAGATAATAGATAGATAGATAATAGATAATAGATAGATAGAGATAATAGATAGATAGATAATAGATAATAGAAGATAGATAGATAGATAGATAATAGATAGATAGATAGTTATATAGATAGAGATAGATAGATAGATAGATAATAGTATAGATAGATAAAGATAATAGATATAGATATGATAAAGATAGTTATAGATAGATAGATAGATAGATAATATATAGATAATAGATAGATAATAGATAGATAGATAATAATAGAATAGATAGATAATAGATAGAAATAGATAGATAGATAGATAGATAGATAGAGATAATAGAATAGATAGATTAGATAGATGAATATATTAGATAGATAATAGATAGATATTGGATAGATAATAGATTAGATAGATAGATAGTTATTAATAGATAGATATAGATAATAGATAGATTAATAGATGATAGATTGATATAGAATAGATAGATAGATAGATAGATAATAGATAGATAAGATATAGATAGATAGATAATATATATAGATAAGATAGATAGATAGATAATAGATAGATGATAGATAATAGATAGTTAATAATAGATAGAATAATAGATAGATGATAATAGATAGATAGATAGATAGATAATAATAGATAGATTAGAATAGATAGATAAATAGATTGGATAGATAGAAATAGATAATAGATAGATAGAAGAAAATTGATAGAATAGATAATAATATTTAATAGTAATAGATAGATATAGATAGATAATAGATAATAGATTCATAATAATAGATAGATAGAAATAGATATAGATAGATAATAGATAGATAATAGATAGATAGATTAGATAGATAGATAGATAGATAGATAGATAGATAGATTTAATAGATAGATAGATAATGGATAGATGGATAGATAGATAAATAGATAGATAGATAGATAATTGATAGATAATAGATAGATAATAGATAATAGATAGATAGGATAGATAGAAAATAGATAGATATATAGATAGATAGATAATAGATAGTGGATGTAGATTAAAATAGGTATATAGATAATATAGATAATAGATAATAGATAGATAGATAATAGATAGATAGATAATTTATTGAAATATATTTTGAAATTTATTGAATTGGCCAAAATGGTAGTTATTTCAAGTATATGTCAATTATTTGGGATGAATATTTTTAAAATATATTCTTCATATTTTTTTTGAAAAAAAAAGTTTTTTTTTTATATTTTTCATATATTTTGTAATAAAAAACGCATTTCAACATGCAGTGTATATATGTACTTATATATTATATAATATTTATTTCAATTTATTTCAAGTATTTTTTTTCTTCCATGTGGGCGGCACAGCCCCGCTGCACAGACAAAAAAAATAAAGTACCCGAAGCTCTGCTGTAATGGTCAGTGGAGCGGGGGAGGTTTGGTAAATGTCACATCTAGGAAAGCCCCTAAAAAAATATTGAACCGAAAGAAAAAAAAAAAAAACAGGAAGATCAGGACGGCGTGTTTGGGTGTATTATTAGATGACAGTGTGAGTATTGTGTCGGTTCTGCTGATGGGACACATTCGGATGGCAGGAGAGATCGATGTTTTCCTGTTTGTGTCTTTTATTATCAAACTTTTGTCCTGGTGTAAATTGTGAAACAGAAAAATTAATTTGATTTCAAGTCCAGGATTTTTCTCAGAGGATTTCTGAACGGAAGAGACCGCGCTTAGATGTAATATTCAGATGGGGACATAACCCATCACTGAATTAACAGGAAACTTTGGGAAAAAGGAAATAAAAAAAAGTTCCTTTTGCTTGGAAAAAATTTAAAAAATATTATTAATAACATGCTTTCGGCTCAGAGGCTCCCACACGGAAGAAAAATATATTTTAAATATATTTTA